AAATACAGTAGTTATAGTTAAAGGTCTCCACCTGTGGTCACTTTAGCTTTGAATTTTGGGGAATGAAAGTATGTTGTATATTATGTTTACTTACTGAGATTGATTTTTTTTTTTTTTTTTAATTTGACAGGACTAATAGTTGAAAATGTTGAGTACTCTGATAATCTGTAAATGAAAACATCTATTAGTGTAACAAATATGGACCTTACTTGGATGAATTACTTGAATTTTCAAATGGCTTGGCTTTGCATGAAATAATGTATTTTGTGTGAATTTTTGCTCTTTTCTTCAAAACTGTGGCAATTTCACATTATCTGAAAAAAACATTCATTTTCTGCACACACCAATTTAAAATATAGTTTTAAAAAGGCTTGCTAATACATAGATAAGCCTTAACACCCATTCTGCTGTGGGTTTCTCTGCTAAGTATTAAGTTCCTTTGAATGCAGGCTGGGTGTTTCAGTGATATCACATTGTGCATTTGATTGACGGATACTTAAAAAATTTGAATGGCTCTCTGATGACTTCTCAAAGAATGCAGCTTTTCAAATGCTTTATGTAGACAGAGTGCAGTATAAATCAAGGCTTTTAAACTTTAGATTTATAGGACTCCAAGTTCTGTATTGCACTCTTAAAAAGTAAAATACTGTATTTACCCCCCACAATGCACAAATAAACATTTTGCTGTCGTGAGCTGAAAAGGAGCTAGCAAAGACTGTGCGTGGAAGAGCTGAGTAAATGATGAGGCTGTTGCTGCTCTTATTCCTTCTTATAGGGAGTTGATGGTTTATGCATTCACCGTTCTTATCAGCTTAATTCCCCTGTTGCCAGTTCAGAGAGTTAATAAACGGTCTGAGGTAGACTCTCGCTGAAATCAAGAGAGTGGCTTAAAATCAGGAGGTACACATGTCCTTATTGGATGAAGCTGGGTAAGATGAGTGTTTTTCTCGGATCAGATATTTAAAGCCTGGCTGGCGTTTGATAGTGACAGTGTGAGGGTTTTTTGTTTGTTTCTTGTTTTGTTTTGTTTATATTTAGTACTTTAAAGGCTCACCTATTGTAAGAATCACAGAATCACAGAATAAGGATAAAGTTTGGAGAAAATTTGACATTGGTATAACCGTATTCCAGAGACAGTTTGATACAGTGGTCACTGTTGGGATTTTGGTGAAAATTCAAGAAGAAATGCTCTCTTTTTTTTTTTTTAGTCTAGGTGTAGTGCTTGCATTCATTAAGATAGCTCTTCAGGTGATTGGTGTTTCATGGGACTACCTGGTGCCAATAACTGTGCTGCTCATTTAGAGAGAAAAAAAGTTGCTGAAATTAGAATGGGATCAAGGATAAAGCACGTATATATTTGTCAATGTGCAGTAGCAATCTGAATTTTTTTAGTGACATAGGAAAACTAGTGTAGCTTGGTGATGCAACTGTTTACTGGGCTGCAGTTATTGTACATTTGCTCCTACCCCTTCAAGAACTATCCGTGTGCTTAATGGTATTCACCTCAGAGTAGTTCCCTTTAAGTCAGTGTGGAATTAAACACAAAATTAAGTTCATTTATAAATCTTTGTGGCTTCATATCTCAGGAATTCAGATAGCTACCAAACATAAAAATAGCAATGCAAGTGCCTTGCAGTCCTGCTCCTAGGGAGAGGGCCATCATGGCACTACATCCACCTGTTCAAAGCGCAAGGTATATTGACATTTAGGAAACTAAATGTGTATAGGAGCAAAAATATTTCCAAAAAACCAGTAACCTTTTGCCTTACTTTTCTGTTGAAGGGCATCTAGACTCCAAAGAGGACAAGTAACCAGCTTCCCGTTTTATTGAATATATTGTTACATAAGTAAACGTGTATTCCTACAGCATGTTAAGATACTCTCAGAAAACGTTTCCCATCACTGTCATGTAGAGAGGTTTTTTTCACTTTTCGCTACCTTCTCTTCTTTTTATCTGTGATTGTTATTCAATCCAGTAATAAAAAAACTTGTTGTTCCAAGATTCAGAAAGCTATCTTAAGTTACAGAGCTATTTAAACATCTCTTACTGCCTCAAGGTAAAACTTGTGTTCTTTCTCATTACTCTGGCATATGGGAAAATCAAAATTTGAGGTCTTCTGTTGGCATAGAAAAAGAGCATATGCTGTTCTTATAAACTTCACATACTTACTGGTTGTGACTTTTATTTCCCATCATGTGTATTTTTACTCCCTAAAAGAAAAGTGGATACAACATTTAAAGTTAGCCTTTAGACCATTATGCCAACTGCTTAGAGGCTTTTCACATCTTAAATTGTAGTGTTGGAACTTCAGTATTCATAGCAGGTGGTCCATGCTCTGACTTTTGTAGGTCACAATTTTTGATATAAATATTTGATATCTCTGCTCTCATTCTCTTGAATTGTTGGGTCCAGAAAAAAAAATATAAATGTAAATCCAAAATTAGTAACAGAGATAGACTGCCATCTCTCTTGCTTTCCTATGGATAACATCTTCATAACATAGTGTGCATAGTAGCATGAGTGATTATTACAAATGTTTCCCTTTGTATAGAGCCTAGAATATTAAGAAGAATGTAAAATGAAGAAATTAAGAGTTAAGCAAGTCTAAATTTACTGAGTTTAGGACTTCCTGCAAGTAAGTTAGGGCAGAAATCTTCCCTGAGCATTTTATGACTCCTTTTATAGAATTACATTATTAAAATCACAAAAATAGTACAGAAGTCATATTTATGTATTCATTTTAAGAGTTATAAAACTACAGATGAGTCTTGTAAAGCATAAATCTAAGACACTGCTTAATAAACTTAGTTTAGAAAACAGTAAGCATGAAAACATGAAGTAATGAATGTTAATACATAGTCTGAAGGTGATGGTGGAAGACCTTGTGACAATGATGGAACTCAGCAGTATTTTTCTTAAGTTCTAATTAGAACAGACAAATTGAATGACTGTTTATAAGCAGTTTGCATATTTAATGATTAGTGGGTTCCAATTTACAAAAGTTTTCCCCGTGACATTTCAGGAATTAATACTCTTAAATTAAAATTATTTTATGTGAATTATTTTAAGTTACATTAATATGTTCTTTTCTGAAATCAAACCATTATTCTTGTCATATAGAAATTCTAATCCTGACTTATTTTTATTGTAACTACTTGGTTAGATTAATATGCTAGTTATGTCTGTTTTTCTATCATATTGTCTTCATTTCACTGTAGTGCTGAACAAAACCCCAGATTTCTGTTCTTATTTTGATCTTTCTTTTTCGTGGATCAGGGAGAAAACTGAAATATTTACATTTTTAAGATTCATGCATTTAATAATAAGATTTCTAATAATAATTTTTGAAGTGTTCCGTCCCAGTACTTCTAACCAAAGGGAAAACTCTGTAGCTAAGCTACCAGAATGCAGCACGAGAGCCTGAAAAGTGTTTTGTGTCATAAGAGATTTGCTTAGTGGAAAATGAAATGTTGATTTTCATGAAAACCCACCTCTTCCTTGAGCAAGTGTTTCGGCTGGGAATTTATGACCAGACTTAGACAGGGATGCTATATTGCTTGACTGTGACAAAAAGCTGAATACTGGAGATTTTTGGCCGTGATGGAGATACTCTTGCAAGTCTCCTGTCATCTGTGGGCCAAATTCTGCACATTACTCTATATTTCCTAATTGTGGCTGAGGATATCCTTGGACTGCAAATGTGTGTATCAAAGATGTGAGAGGGCATGCCGTGACTTTTTGAAGTACCTAAACAGACAATGTGCCTAGCTTGGGACTTTCTGACTGTAGTCTTCTTCAAGTATCTTGAAAATATGATCTTTATTATTATGCAGTTTAGTTCTGGTGAAAATCAACCTAATGTTTTTACGTCCAAATTTCTCAGTCATGTAAGAGACTTTATTTGCCACGAAACAAATGCATGATGAGACAAGACGCTGACTGTGGGTCAGTTGGACTCTGCAATTACTGCAGTTTTTCCTGGGTATTTTTTAGGGCAGTAGGAGATAGTTGGCTCATAGATTTAGTACTTCTTCCTGCACCTTGTTATGGTGTTCAGAGCTGTGAGCTGCTCCAGCCCTGTCCGTGTCAGGGAGAGAATAACAGTGAGGGTAAATGGGGTCTTCAACGCATGGGGTTTGTGTGCTGCCCTGCTGCCAGCCCCACACCTTCAGCGCGTGCGCTGTGGCCTCTAGCCGTGCACGGCTATAATGTTGGCATTAAGTAAAATATGCTTCATGTGACGTTTGCTTGTTACTTAATCTCGTTCTTCTTTCTTCTTTTTTTTTTTTTTTTGCCTTTATTGGCAAAGTTTTGTTGGTCGCAAGCCTTATCATCTGTTTTCATAACACTGACGTATGTTTAAACAGTTCTCATCTTGAGATATTTTTAAAAGTTCTCGAAAATACTTTCTTTACTAAATTCTCACTGCATTTTTTGACAATGTGTTTGCTGAAACATTTGTTTTATCCATGTCAATATTGCATTGATCAATACTGAGTGTTTAAATCATCTTAATTACCAATACAATTATTTTTTTATGGTAGCCCACTTTTACACTGTTTTGTAGTTGTTACCACAGTGAGGGCATACACACATGAGAAATATATGCGTATGGTGATCCTTTTTAATTTGGTGAGGAGTATTCTAGTAGACAGATATTGCCAAAAATTAGCAGCTCCTCAAATTGCTGCAAAAACTTTGTAAATGCAGGACCACTTCAAAAATGATATCTTAAAAGCATAAGCTTTGATTGGCATAGAAAGGTCGTCTTCCAAAATTCGAGTGTTTTACATTTTCTCTATTACGTTCTCCACTTCCTAGCTGCACATTATAAATGTTCTGTCTTTTGAGAATGTGTTATTCTAAATAAGTCTTTAATTAAAATTTCATGCTTAGATATGTTTTATGTATGTACAATATGAAATATATGTTGTTGTTTAATGTTGATTTGTTTATAGAAGTAACTGTTAGTATTCTGTAATAATGATATTGTTTTTAGCAGGTCAGGTTGTTTCCCCACAGTCTGCTCCAGCCTGTATTGAAAACAAAAATGACGTGAGCAGAGAAAACAGCACTGTTGATTTTAGCAAGGTAAGTGTTCATTGACTGCAGAGAGAGCTTCCTTTACTATAAAATAGATCTTTTAAATTAAATAAAATGAATCTGTGTGAATCAGGAAAAGTTTTAAAGTGACAATTCTACTTCAGTATTAATTTTCATGTGTATTGCAACACAGAATTTGTACATAACAAAATAATTTTTCATCTTCCCAATAAATTTCTAGTAGCAAGAAATCCCAGTGCAGAATCATATATATACATTTCACTGCGTAACAGTATAGTTTTAGGGTGAGCTTTTACAAATGAGTAGAAAATGATCAAGGTAGGAGACTAAATTAGACTTCTTATAATTCAGATTTACCTCTCAGATTTATCCTTTTTGTGGAAGTAATGCATGAATGCAAACTGTGCTTTTTATAACCTGTTCTCGTGGATTCCAGATGTCTCAAGCAGAATGTGTTTCTGTAAACCTATAACTTAATTCTTTTGGCAAGCCAAGTTATTTCAGTACACTTCACAAAAGATGTTAGCTGTTCAGTAGTGGAGCTTGCAATGACAGTTCAGTGTTAGATAGCAAAGAAAAGCAAACAGCTTCTCAGCTATAATGTAAAGGGAAATCCTAATTACAGGAGTCTGTATGTACCTAAAACAAACTGTCACATTAGATACAGATGACAGACCTGACAAGAATAGATGACTTCAGCTGACGCTTTAATACAACAAAGGTTGAGTAAGTGAAGAAAGGTGATTTAAACCAACATTCTGAAGAACGGTTCTTTGAGTCTTTGAATCTTAGTGTTAGTCAGTGGAACTGAGCTAAAAGTAGAGTTATGTGATTGCTCCATCTGGTGCCAGACTCATTTCCTAGCAGCAGTAGCAGCAGTTGAATTCTTGAGTGAGCCTGCTAGGACCAGGAATGGCCAAAATAAAGATGGGAAAAGGATCTTTTTGTCAGAGGTGAGGAGAAGAAAGAAGGAAGGCTGGGGACATACTGTGGTCCACGTTTCTACAGAGATAGAGAAGAGATCTGTGAACAGTGACATGTTAAAAACATCATGCTTATCCTTTAAAAATATTCTAAATGAAGAATATAATGCTTTAGAAAGGTGAGTATATCTTTTTTCTGATGCTTATATTAAGTGTTAAGTAAAACTAATCTTTTTGGCAAGTGTTTTGATATCAAGGTGTAACATTTTTGTAAAGGATATCAAATATAAATAAAGCTGTGTATTCAAAGTTAAGCTGTGTGGAGATGAAGCTTTTAACGACCAAAAAGGAAAAGCATGATATTCAGTAGTGCATTTCTTGCATGTTTCCACAAGTGATTTGAATCTTGCAGGATTTCAAAATCCAAGTCCAGTTTTCTAGCGGCACGTTTTTTGCATTAAAGAAAAATGGAGGCCACATCATTTAATCCTTCCCCCACTATTTCTCTAGCACTGTGGGTCTGCAGATCAAAAGAGCTCTTCCTGCTTTAACTGGCATGGAAGGAGATCAGCATGTCATCTTTCGGCTATCGTTCTGTACCTCAGCAGCGTTAGATACCAACAAGAATTTCAGGAATATGAAAGAAACAACTTTTGTTTGCAGGAATGAAGTAAGAATAAGGAATTCTAATCAAAGGACCTTTTCTGACTGCCTTTAAATAGATTCATTTATCCTCTAGAAGATGCATATGTAAAGCAGAATTTCCCCTTGAAATGTGCTATTACAGTAACTCCCAATGGTTATAATTGGAATTATATGCACAGATTGAGAGGGAAGTAGAGCAGTACACTAATTTTCTCATGAGTATTGTGATTTCTTGCTCTAGTTTTGTTCCACCTATTAATTTCATTTATCTTTTACAAAAAAAGCACCTTTGACTACCTCTGGTTCTCTCCTTGCTAATCTATCTCCCTTGGGCTACTTCTGATATTCTTAATTTTGGAGTTGATTCAAAAACCTGACTTAATCCAAGTACAGTGCTGAGACTGTGCTGATTGTATTGGTATCTATTTATGAATAATGCGAGACTCGGCGCTAAAAGCTGTGTCTTGAATGTTACTTCAGTAGCATAAAGAGGGAGATATATTTTCTCATGCTTGTACATGTAAATGTGTCACTCTTCCTCTGGGGACACCACTAGGACTTTATATTCCTAAGACAACATAGAGGTGGTTTAAATGATCTGTCACATCACCACTTTATCCTGTACCTGAGTAGGATGGGGATGACGGTTTAAGATTTGCATCTGGCTGGTCCCTGCTTGTTATACCAGAGGCTGAAGTGATTCCCAGCTGTCCTAAAGTACAAAATACACCCAGGTCTCTTCTCATGGCAACGCTCCTGTGCCTCGCATGGAACAGTATTTCTGAATCCAAGCTCGGTCCCATACCAAGAGTGCTTTACTTTTTCCAAATTCCATGTGAAATAGTTGACTTGTCTTTGAATACTGGATGGCTGCTCTTATAAATAGATTAATACATGCTTCCCAAGAAGTGCTGTTGAGTACTCTTCTGTTTGAATGCAATGTCAATTTATAATTCAGCTCCAGGGGAGGCCCCCCCACCACACACACACTTTTCAATCCTTGTAGTGCTCTGGAGAGGAGTGGACTCAACATTAGTGATTTCCTTTTATGTCTAACCTGAGCCTGCTGGTACTATTACGTGCCAGGTCCTGGATGTGGCTCAGGTTGGGTACAGGTTAAGGTGCAGATTAGGGCTATCTAACTAAAGGGTCCTTGTCTGGATGGATATGTGGTGGATAGGTTAGTTGAAGCATTTGAAGGATGTAGCCTCTCCCTTGGCCCCAAACTCACTCCAGTGCCACCTTTGTGTCCTGTTTATCTGCTTTCATTAGGTAGCGAAAGCAAAACACAGGGTTTGGGCCCAAGTTTGATGCTTCTCTGCCACCTACTTTGCTTTGAATTATGGCTATCCCAACTTACAAGACCTTGGAATCTCAGACTATACAGGAAATACATCTGAGAATACTTTCCAGTGGGCAGGAGACAGATGATTTCTTTCAGATGTGAATCTTGGCCCTGTGATCTGTATGTTAGTGGAACCTTAAGGTGACAACTGTAGCACATGGTATATGAAACATCATGTTATTAAATATTAAATAGATATTAAATCATTCACAAGGCAAAAACACTGTAGAATGCACATTTGAGTTGCTGTGCGCCTGAAAGATTGCTTTTTTTCCTCTCAACTGTAAATGACCTAATACTCCAAAATTAGGTGCAAAGTAAATCTATTTGTAAACTTGGTTTTTGTATTTAACCTTGAAAAGCTATTTTGTGATTTGGGTGAGGAAAAGAAAAATTTACCTTACTGATATATTTGAAAAGTACCTGGGCTCCAGCCTTCCAGGTTGATTTGATGATTGTACAACGTTGTGAAGTGCTGGTCATAGTTCTAGAGATTGGCTTAAGATAACATTAGATATCTCCTTGTGATCTCACAGCAATAAGATTTCATTACGCAGGCAAATGTGTTATATCTGAATTCTGATTTAGTGCCAGAGCCATTTGCAAGAAAACAATTTTCTAAATATTACCAAAAACTATGCAAACTAGTACTGACAGATGGCTGTAAGATAGACATTAAAATGGTCCACTTTAACAGTTTATATTGGATTTGGTTGCTGTTGTTGTGTTTAGATTAATAAAAGGAAAGCAAATGACAAAAATCATGCATTTTGAAATGTAGACAATACTGGTGCATAACGAAATCAAACATACATTATATACTCTATTACTCTATGTCAATCTTTATTATAGAGTAAACTGTAGACTAATACTGAGGAAATAATACAAATAAACACATTATTTCTAGGTAAATAGCTATAAACACATTATTTCTAGACAAATAGCTAGAATTTATATAGCAAGGCTGTGATGAAGCTATTTCTCTGTCTTTTCCTACCCACCACCCCCAACTGTTAACATCACTGCTTATAGCTCCAGTTTTTATTCCACTTTGCTCTTTCAATTTATGCTTGAGACCATTGCGGTCATAGCTTATATTCTGTTATTGTCAGTAGAAGGGAAAGTACCTTCCACCAAATCTGACAACCAAAATACTTCTAAATTTGGGTAGTAGATGGAAAATTATGGGTAGTGGAGGCTGTTCTCATTATAATGTGGCATCTTTGAAAAATGAATTCATATTTTCCACACTTTTTAATTATGGAAAAAGGAGGGATCTTGACTTCTTATACTGTTATGAATTAATGCTAGAAAAAAGCATCAACAGGAAATGTATTATATTACGTTCCTAACAAAATTTTGATTGTGATTTGCCATCCTTATAAATTAATTCTGCAGTACTTTAACTATATTTCCAAAGCACAATCAACCAATTGCTGAAAAACTGGTTGTTATGTTGTTGAGAAGCACTTAAAAAAATATTCAAGAGACAAGAATAGTAGGAACTGTATGATTAAAATAACTGAGAGGACAATCAGTTTTTGCAAACTAAATGCATTTTTTTCTGCAAACTAGATTTTTAGGGTAATTTAACATACTTTTCCAGGTTGATCTACACTTCATGAAAAAGATACCACCTGGAGCAGAAGCATCAAACATTTTAGTTGGTGAACTGGAGTTCTTGGACCGTGCAGTTGTTGCCTTTGTGAGGTTGTCTCCAGCAGTGCTGCTCACAGGCCTAGCTGAAGTTCCAATTCCAACAAGGTGCTGTTAGATTTACTTCTGCTCGTGTTTTTCTAAACCGTATCCCTTGTGGAGATGGGGTGATGAGGCATTCAACTTTGTCATTTGTTGAGTTGTGAATCTGCTTCCTTCTTTATGAGAAGGACATCTTTCCATTCAGCTTTTAAATGACGTATGGGGAGTGTTCAGGAACAAGCCATCTCTGTGTGAAGGTAATCATTCTTCATGGAAGTAAAAGTGACAGCTTGCCACCTCTGTAAGTTACAACACAGAATTTATCTTAGACAGATTGTTAATACTGCAGATGAAATACTGTGAGGCTGAAGTGACAGTCAGAAAAGAGCTAGAATATTTCGCCTCGGTGGAACTGAAGCTACCTTTGTGATACTGCATAATTATGTCTGGGACAAAAAAATGATGAAGGAAGTAAGTAAAAGGAAAAAACAAACTGTGATTTAATTAACTAAGGATACTGAACAGATGAAGAACAAGATGTATATATCACATTATTATAAAACTTATCTGTGAGATACTTAGCAGAAGTGAATATGACTTTTGATCCTAATTGTTGTTGTTGTTGAAACTTCAGTGAAACATTTTGTTTTTGAGAGCAATTTATGAGGAGTGGATTTTTATGTCCAAAACAGACTTTGTAGCCAAATAGAAAGATTCTTTTTGGAACAACAATATGCAAGTGATTATAACGTTCAAGTAGATCTGCAGATATTGCTGACATTAATTTGGATCAAAACTCTAACCTGATTCTGCTGTATCTGAGTTCAGTGACTTAACTAATGTGCAGTCTCTTTCTCACTTTTTTTTCTCTATATATGCATATATTTGTTCCCATATTCTGTCTGTCTTTCTCCTTCCCTCTTTCAGCTTTTATAAATGTAGAATTCCAGTAGAAGACAGTACTGTATTCAGGTTCTTATGACACTAAGCTAAAAAATCAAATGCTGAAATTGAAATTCTTACTTCTAATCGTATAGACAATCTAAAGTCTGCTTTAGATCTAACTTATCACTTTTTCTAACTATCACTTTTTTCTTTTTCAGTTTGTGTATGTGTGTGCGCGCGCGTGTGTGTGTTAAAGGGAGTGACATTAAGAGACTGAATTGGCTTTGAAAACAAATTCTGAAGTCTTTCCCCAAAACCTCCCCCAGCCTTCCACAAAACCTCCTGCCAATGCAAAAACAACCCAGATTTCTTAATTTTTGGCAAGAACAAAATTAAAGAAAATTAAAGGATTAAAATTAAGGATGATTAAAATTTTCTGCAAAAAATTTTTGAATAATTTAATAATAAATGTTAATTAGGCAAATTAATTACTGTTTATATTTTGGCAAGATAGAGATTTTGTACTGAGCAAGATTGACTTCTTAGCGAGATTCATTTGAATCTATCCTGTGCATTTTGCAGAGCCTTAGTAGCCTCAAGCCTGAATTTGAGGCTATCAAGATTCTTTGTAATGAAAGTGAAAGGAAAGTGAATTATTTTCACTCAGGGTAATCTCACTTCCCTAATATTGCAATAGTGCTGACTGTATACATGAAATAATTGGTTCTATTAACAGAATTAACATTAAATTCATATTTCAAAAGTTCTCTATACATAGACTATTATGTAAGATAAGGTTTTTTATGTAAGGAGGTTTTGATAATCTCAATCAAACCTAACTGTGAAGCTTATGGTGTATTTTCAGAAGTTATTTTCACATTTTTTTGTAACCACAGCTTCATGTTTAAATTCATGTGTGGTGATCTTAAATGAGATTATATAGAATGTTTGTCTTAGGTTATTCTAGTCTGACTTTTAAATAAGTCCTTCTGCACCATGCGTAGTAACTTTTAACCATCTATTCTTTACAATATTTTTATTTGACATTTACTTACAGATTTTTGTTTATTCTTCTTGGACCTTTGGGAAAAGGACAACAGTACCACGAGATTGGAAGATCAATTGCAACGCTAATGACAGATGAGGTATTTCTCTACCTGTGACTTATTTTCAGTCATTTTGTACTGACTGAAGAGGTGTAATAGGAAATCTCCAGTACAGAATCCTCCAAATGAAAAGCAGCTAATCTTTCTGAAGGAGCCCTACAGAAGGGTTAGGTTCATTGCATGATCCTATAACTGCTGAGACAATGCTGCTGTAAGGAGATACAAAATGAGAGAGATGATTCACATGCAAGGAGCATGTGAATGCTTCACTGAGAAGTTTCCATTTTGCACAGTTACTTTCCAGTGGAATTAATTTCATTTTAAACTGTAAAATCTTTAGAACATTTAACACCCCTAGGTGTGTTTTTGCATGGCAGGTGCTTTACCAGAAACTCTAGTCAGTTGAAGTTGAGATTGTTTCTTTGGTTTTTGCAAGGGGGACATACATAAACTGCATTCTGTGTAAGAGGAAAAATTATATACAAGCATTCCTTTCCCCATCTGTTTTTTCATCCGCATACATACACCTCTCTTCTTTAATTGCAGGTATTCCATGATGTTGCTTATAAGGCAAAAGACCGCAATGATTTGGTTTCCGGAATTGATGAGTTTCTTGACCAGGTTACAGTTCTCCCCCCTGGAGAATGGGACCCAACAATTCGAATAGAACCGCCTAAAAATGTTCCTTCTCAGGTTTGTACATTGTAAAATTCAGATTCTTCTAAAGGTTTTGATGAATTTTGCCTAGGTAAAATTAAATTACGTTAATTTCAGAGTGATGACAGTCCATTGTAGTTCAACAGTAGTTCTCTCTTGAATCAAGACCAATAGTTGTAGCTGAAGGTCTTAGATTCGGGGGTAAAAAGTCATAAGCATTTTTGATTACTTTGTAAAACAGCTGTTGTTTGCTTTTCTTCTAAGCTTATTGCTACATCTTAGTTTTCTGAAATTAAAAAAACCCCAAACGCTCCAATGCACATGAGTGCTTACTCTCTTACAGGTGCACAATTTTCATCAGAAGATAATTCAAAAAAGCGCAGAAGAGTACAAAATAAAGGAATCCCCTCTTTCTTGATGGCTTTCTTTATAGCATTACATGATTGTGTCCCAGTATTTAGCCTGGTTTATCTATTCTTCTGCTCCTTGATTGTGGTTGTAGTGCATTTTGAATTTTCTTTGCCTTTTGGTTAGAAAATACCCATAAAACATGAGATTTGTTTTTCTTAATTCTATTCAGTAGATGATCCTGCTTATGCTAGCTTGCTAGTGAAGTCAAAATGCAGTGCCCACTTAAGAGCAGGAACTGATCGAAACAGCCTGGCTTGCTGCTCTTTTGAAATATTTTCTGATACAGGATTTTCTTTGATCAGTTCTTTAAAAGTCTTAGAGCAAAGCTCCTCCTACTTTTTCCCTGTTACAGAGCTCCTCTACTGCTTATGAAAAAATTGTGTTGATGAAGTTTGCAATAAAATATAAATATGTAGTCCTTCACTTCTCAAATCGTAGATCCACTCTGTTAACTCTTGGCATGGAAATGTACATTGTATGAGCTTGGAAACCTGGGAAAATGAAAGAGACTTTGAGAGGTGCCATGTATGAGGTTTAGTGTGTCCGCCTACAGAGAGGTGGAGATACCCATAGGTATCAAAGAGAGATATTAATTATTTATGTGCATATATGTATCTACATTTCTGTCTGTTGTAAATCTAAATTTGTATACAATACAAATATATGCATACATGTTATAAATTATACATTTGTTATATACTCTGTACTGGAGGTATAAAACAAAATCATCAGAAACTTACGCTTGAATAGCATGTGAAGATGCATTCTCAGGAACTACTAGTCACGTAGGTTTGGTAATGTGGAGCTCAGCACCTGAATGAGGAGATAAATATGTGATTATCCTGCAATGGTTGCATCTATAGTAGTGCAATAGTTCACATCAGGAGTGTGCATTTGGAGCAGATTTTCTAATCCTGCAGTGTATGAGCCAAACTGCTTTGGATGAAACTGAATTGGAAGATGTGCTCTAGGAGAGCTCCTGGTGGGCTCGAGCCAAGGTGGTGTTCATGGGACTAAACTGGAGGACAAACATAGCTGGGACGTGTATAGGGCAGACATCAAGGCCTCCATACTACCTGTTTCACTCTACTGGTCCACTCCTACTGGCTTGACCCACTTCCCAGTGTGAGCAGAGCAATCAGAGGGTGATCAGTGTGTGTGCTGTGGTGGCCGTGGTGCTGTCAGTACTACATCTAATGAGCTGCAAGTAGCTCATGTAGGTCAAACGATTTTCACTTTTTACTGCAGTGTAGATCAAACTTCAGAAGCACTGCAAGTCACTGAGAAACAGTTAAATGCCATTCTCTCTCCTATTTCATTTGAATTGCTTTCCTTGGTCTTTTTACCTCTTTCTTTTTGAAGATAGTAAAGCTACGTTCACATAGCAGTACTGGCAACAAAACAAAAGTGTGGAACTATAATTCTGTAAATGCATTTTTCGCTCACCTAATAAATGGGAAGTAGAAGGATACTGCACAAAAGGAAAAAATAATTATCACTTGTCCATTTCCTCTGCTAAAATTGTGTTTTGGTTGTTGAGATCTGTGAACAGTATCTTTTCCTCCTGGTAGGAGAAGCGTAAGATCCCAGGAGTGCCAAATGGGACTGCAGCTCATGGGGACCCAGAACAACCTGGTGGACACTCTGGACCAGAATTGCAACGCACTGGAAAGTTAGTGAAAACTTGTTTTATATACAAAATTTTAAGTGTTTCAGGTGGTGTGCTTTCAAAGGAATTATAATGGTCTGGTTCTCTCTCAAATGGTATATGGTATAGGGCTGGTCTATGATTTCTTTCAGGTATTATTCCTGATTTATATACCATGTAGTTGAAAAAGACAATACTCACTAACTTACAGAGAGGGGGAGAGGGAAGATGATTTGTGTTTTGACATTATGTTTATTGCAAGATCCTTTCTCTATTATTTGTAAAGGTCAGACCTCTGGTAGACAGTGTCATCTGATACCTTGGGAGGGGAAAAAAAGCATTGTTGGATATTTGCTTTAACTTCATGGCATATTGTAAGGACTGTCTGTTCCTAATATTTGCTTATTTTTAGGTAGTATAAACGACAGGAGATGACAGTTCTTGTCCTGGGAAAATTATGGCCTACATTTAATTCCATCATCTAATATATTTAGGAAACAGTTCTCAAGTAAAGAACGTGTAGCACTCTATCTGTAGGAAAACTATGTGGGCAAACAGGCACTGCAATAGCTATCTGATTGAACAAACGCAAAGAATTATTTCAAGTAGAAGTGTAGGCACACAAATAGTAAGGGTTTTGTGCGTGGGAGCTAACAACTATCCAGAAGTTGTTGAATGTTTTATAAAAGAAATATGGACATTAGTTTGTTCTAAAAACACAATTTACTGGTTACAGTTATCAAGACAGGGTTCCCAGAAACTTTCTTCTAGGGAAGGATGAACTGTCATTTGATCAAAGAAGAGTAGCTTCCTCCTTTAAAGAGATAATAAAGTGTAGTAAGCTTTTTTCATGAATTTAATCTCTTTTATTTTTTAGATTTTTTGGAGGATTGATTTTAGATATAAAAAGAAAAGCTCCCTTCTTTTGGAGTGACTTCAGGGATGCTCTCAGTCTACAGTGTCTGGCATCATTTTTGTTTCTCTACTGTGCTTGCATGTCTCCTGTCATCACATTTGGTGGTCTGCTGGGAGAAGCTACTGAAGGTCGTATAGTATGTGTTAAATCTGAACTCTTTAAACAAACTTACTTTCCTTGGTTTGTGGTTAGTATTTGCTTGCTGTTGCATGAGTCACCTTTAAATATTGGTGTTTAAATGTTTAGAAGGCTACAAACTGAGATACTGGACAAGGAGCCTGTTTGAAAATTAATGGAAACTTATCTTTGTATCATATTCAGAGTGCAATAGAATCACTGTTTGGAGCATCCATGACTGGAATTGCCTACTCTCTATTTGGTGGTCAGCCTCTCACTATACTAGGCAGCACAGGACCAGTTTTGGTGTTTGAGAAGATCTTATTCAAATTTTGCAAGTAAGTGAAATATGTGTATTTAAAATTTCAGACACATTTGTCAGTGCAATGGCTAAATAACATTTAGAGATTCCTTAGTAGCATGATGAAGATTTCTCACTGAGTTGTTTGCACGCTGTTCATGGGTGAGATCATGATACATTTTAGCTAAGGTGTTCTTAAGTAAAATTAGAAATAGCTGATCTCAAAGTACCAACAGCTACAGAATAAGATCAGAAGTTTGTTTTGGGGTGCAGTGCTTAGACTTTCAGAATCTGAAAATTATGCAATGACTGAGACAAGCGTAATGGAGAAGTGTTTGGGGTTTTTTGTTCTTTTTTTTAAGTTGTTTTAACAGGAAAGCAAACTTCAACATAGTTTTGTATTGTGTTGTTTCCTTCTCTAAAATGATGCATATAAATCCACGGTTTCTCTCATCTCTAACTCAGGCAATGGGTTTTATTTTTCCACTCATGAAGCAAGCACAGTGGTCGTGGCACCATCTTTCAGTAGTCACTAATATAGTTCCTCTGCTCTCAAAAGATAAGGGGTGAAGTGTTGTGCCAAAACAGCATATCCTCACATTTATGCTAACACGCTATACATAACATGCCACAACGTGGGTAAAAATTGTGCGTGCATCTTGGCAACTGCAATGCTTTTCCAAGATCCGCTCTGCTTTTCAGCCTTACTGCTCTGACCAGGACTACTGCAGCAGGAAAAATGCTGGCAGAGCAAAATATCCTGAACCTCCTAAACAGTACAGAGTAGGAGGCCTGTTCAGCTTCCCAAGAGCTCTTTATTATCACCTTCTCGGACACCTTTTAACTATTTGTGATAATGTCATCCAAAGTATTTGGAGCTCTATTATCATGTGTAATAAGCACACAGGACTTTGCTGAGAGGGGAACATCTGTCAAAGAAACAGGAATGAAAAGACATTTTCCCTAACCTGCCATTTGCTGATTTTTATTTTAGCTAGTCGTGCAGCCTAAAAAGAAATTGGCAGGTGTTGGCTGTTCACAAGTCAGTTGTATGGGATAAAGGGGCAGGTGGACCTTTTCACATGATGCTTATGGCCACTCTTGAAGCCGCTCTCTCACTTTAGCGGAGATAGAGCTCTCTCTCTCCCTTTACTTGGGAGGACAGATCAGGTCAGGAGCTGACTTGATGGTATCTTTGGTTTGTGATAACAAAACAATTTCTGATTCAGATTATCCCCAGGATCGCACAACCTAGACAAAGAAAATTTTGGACTTGCCTCATCTACACCTAGGAAACTGTGACTTGACAGAAGATAACTATGCTTAATTTTGTTTTTCTTTAGAGAGTATGGTTTGTCATACCTTTCTCTGAGAGCTAGCATTGGGCTGTGGACTGCAATCCTGTGCATCATCCTTGTTGCAACTGATGCAAGCTCCCTAGTCTGTTACATTACCCGGTTTACTGAAGAAGCTTTTGCTTCTCTTATCTGCATCATTTTCATTTATGAGGCCTTAGAGAAGCTATTTCATCTCAGTGAGACATATCCAATCAACATGCATAATGATTTGGATCTGCTGACTCAATACTCGTAAGTAAGATTTTTTTCTGTTAACATTGGATTTTTTTTTTCCATGGGTTGTTTTCACTGTGAGAAATACAACCAGTGCACAGCAGGAAAGTTCATGACAGTTGTGAACTTTCATATGGAAGTACTTAGTTTGTCTGTAATGCAGAGTTGAAATGCAGAGATTTTTAGTTTGTTTTTTTCTGAGCTATATTGCTGGGCATGATTCTAGCATATAACAGTAATTGGTGGTGGTATGCTTACAGGCTGGAATCTTAAGTAAAAAATATCTTGACTTTGAGTTTTAGAAAGCTTACGCATGCAACGTGAAAATTGTAGAATAAAAAATAGAGCTAAGTGAGACCTCCGATTTGCTTTTAATTCACGTTTTTATCTAACCATGTGCAACTCAATAATCTCGTAGTGTAATTTATATTGATGCTTTTTAGTATTTTTGAATGTTCAGGCAACATGTTTATATTGTATTTGTATGCGGCTTTTTTTCAAATTGAAATGGTGGCCTTCCTAAAAGGGATATAATTTCAATGTACCTCCTTTATTTTATTCTATGACAGTGAAGGTTCAAGCTCCAAGAACTGAAATGGATTTGGAATTATATGGTGTTTCTCATCAATGATTGCTTTTGTCAAAATCAATTTTTTTCTTAATAAGATTTTTTTTTTATATGACTCCATTTAAGCAGCTTTGCCTCATTTTTGAGCTTCGACAAGGAGAATGTGGATGAGGAGTATTCTAATTGGGGAGTAAAAAGTGAATACTTTAATCAGCATAGTTTTATTTAGAAGTAAAAAACTCAGACTTCTTTCTGTGATATAAGAACAAAAATACCCTCCTAGTAAAGGATAAGATCCTGGTGTACCCTGAGGCCAATGAAGCCTGGTCATCTAAGCAACTAAAATATTGTTTAAAAAGCATTTTCAGAGATGATCCTTCTCCAGAAACATGAACCCTCTGCACAAGATAGGAGGGGTCCAAAAAGAGCAATGCTTGAACAGTGCCACTTTTTCTGTTCATTGGAAAAACAGCAGTGTCTCAACCGAATGTCTCATTTGCATTTTAAGCTGGGAAAAACAAAACACAGGGGTGGAGGAAACATTTAAGCTTTGTTTATGTTATCCTCACTAGAAAAATAGGTAATAAGTCTTGAATCTGAATGCATATTATATACCTTAAGAGACAGACCAAGTTAAATTATGGAAACTATGGTTCTGCTCTCATACGTTCTCTCATCATGCTAAATATGCTGTAATAGTTTAATTGGTGGACAAAGGAAAACTAATTTGATGAAAAAGCACTATACATCTAGTATACACCATGCATGCAATTGAGGTTATGTCGTGGTCTTGTTTTACTTAACTTCCATGAAGTCAACATTTCGCTCTAAAGAGCCTTATGTAGCACACTGCTGTTCATGGATTTTTTTTTTTCCTTTATCACTTAAAAGTAGTCATGTCATGTCAAAGGTACACAGAATGTGATGTTCTTGTACTGTTTTGAAGTATTCTTATGAAGACAAAATTTTATTCAGACACCATGTAGCAGACAGAGCTGAAACACCTAATCAACAGAAAATGATAAAATTTATGTTATTTTAAGTCACATTATAACTTTTTCCTTCAGATAGCAAGTCTATTTTTCTCAGATGTTCCAGAGTCAGACAAACCTACTGGTAGAGCTTAAAAAATTACCTGTTATTACATTTGAATACAAAAGAAAAGCGTTTAAAATTTTTTTAGTCTTGTGCTTAATGTTTTCTTTTGGTTCAGTGATTTTTGAATGGGTTGAATGATTTATCTAAGTCATTCCAAAAGCATTCAGCCTGTTTGCACTGAAGAAAAGTATATATACAACCTTTTGAAAAAGAAGTTACTGAAAATAGCAATAGTCTGGAATATGTCTTTGAAATAACATGCAAGAAAAACAAGACATTCAGTGTAGCAAATCAGGAAGTCAGCACTATATTTGAATTACGTATGCTTTTCCAAAGTTGCAGAACTATATATATATTCCTTCAATTTTCATCTTCCTGAAAAAAGCTTTCTTAGTTTGTTTGCTTTCAGGTAAATGGAAATAACTCCCCACCTTTGCTTTCCTCCTCCTTTCCAAGGAAAAGTCAAGTCTCTCCCTTCCTTCCTAGTCCTGAGGGCCAATAGTGTTCTCTTAATGGTCTATTTCCTTCGGCTGTTGTCCCATTTCCAGGAGGACCTCAAGGGACCTCTCCCCCTCTCTGAAA